CAAACACACTCTAAGCAATACTTATATCATGCTTAATGAGCAGTTTAATTATATATTAAAATACCCCTAATTTCATGTGGTTGGGATCATTTTGCACGGACTGCTTTTTCAGACAACTTAAAAATGAAGTTAATACAAACCTGCTGTTATCTAATGTTTAAGTTTTCAAGTCAGATTTGGGCCTTGACAAGTTAAGGTTCTGCGTTGAATTTATTTATTTATTTTTTTAATATAGGGCAAGGGAAATTTTTCAATGTTTCAGTGTATGACAAAATAAATATAAAATGTTATTTTCAGTTTTCCACTTCTAGAAGAAGATAGTTGGCTCAAAAAACTCTATCTGTCTCATTTTAGTTGTAGTTCTGTCGGTCAGCTCATCAACAAAATTTCAGATTTCAAATCTACCCTACACCTTTAACCACGTTGATACAAATTTGTGTATTTCACATTTTATAAGACATGCCTTCATGTCAAATTATATGTGCATGATTATCTTGTCAAAATTCCAAGAAAATATATCTTTCGATTTCTTTTTTCTTTAGCATTTTCATGATTTAAGTGATCTTGATACAGCCTCACAATGAGCAACACATTGCATCTATGTTGTTCAACAGTTGAGGTATATTAATAGTTCGTTACAGTTTGGGTGTGAGTAGATCCTATCTCAAATCATAGCAAATAACCACAAGCCAGATTTTATTTTAAAGAGACACAATTGCATAAGCAATGAACTACCCAAAAATACAATGTACAGCATAATTTACCCTTTTCTCCCTTAATTTTTCAGTGATCTGAAATCGGGCCTGATTCTTTTTCTGTAACTCTTTCTCTGCCAGATCCAGTTTGGCCCTGAGATTCTGGTCCTGAAAAGGCCGATACTTAACAATATAGAAAGAGTGGATCAGACTGGGTTCAGGCCATGAATCAGCTACATTATTTGGGAGGTCGGCATCCGAAACCTTTTTCCCGTCTTCTTTGGCTGGCTCATCCACACCATGAGTACCAAATTTTACGTTCATCTTTTCATTTTCCATAGAAATCTTCTCTTCATTTCCAGTTTCCACAGAAATGGCCAAGTTTGATTCAGGGACCTCCACACCCATGATTTTCGGTAAATTCTAACCTAAAACGTTCTTAAAGAATCTCAAACCCTGATTCAGGTAGCAAGAAAAACATCAGGTAAGTATGCAAAATGGTCTCCATCAGTATAAGGTAGAATTCAATCAACAAGACAAATCATTCGGCAAAGAAATACAGCTGTAACTAATGAACAAAAACAGTTCAGGTCAATTCATAAATAACTTCACAGGATCAAAATTATCCATCAAAAACAGATTACAGCGGCAAATCTGCTTCCAAGAGTACAATACATTACAAATTTCAATTTTCCTAATTTTGCATCAGTTTTCTTTTATCTTTAAATGTAAGAAGCCCAATAACAGCAATTGAAACAATAACAAAACACAAAAATTATCTTTTACTGAACACGCTAGAAATTCTCAGTTTCATCAAAATAAGACATCAATAAATCAAATCACAAATCATCAAAAACACGCATAAACATAGTAAATTAAGCAAATCATCTTAGAATAGCACTGCTCTATGACATGCAGTAAAATCAACGTAACCAGACAGAAAAAAGAATATAATTAAATGTTAAAAAATACAATCCAAGACACACGAAGATAAAATCTTTATACCAAGAAGAAAAAACGATATACTCTGCAACAGAAGATCAAAAAAGATGGCATGAAGAGAGCAAGAAGGTGATCAAAATTGGACCCAAAAAAACTTCAAAGAAACAGAAAAGTTGAACCAAAAATGGGATTGCAGGATTAAGGGGTGTTGATCAAAAGAAGCAGAAACGACGGAGAATTACCGGCAATTGGCAAGAAAACTAAGGCGGATATTTCTAGGACCCCCTTTAGACGGGACCTGCAAATTTGTATGTGTTTCGAAAAATGTATTGTTTAAAATAAGTGTTTATGTTATATTGATATTAACTATTTGATTAAATATTATGTGATATTTAATCATATTTTTCGAAATTAATTGTATTTT